TTCTCGTCTCCGAACAACCTGTCACGCTAAAACTTACTAGATTAGCACGCTGAACGCATCCACACCCTGGGTCAGCTTGGCTAGCTCTTTTCAAGCTAACCTATCTAAAGTTAATGCTAGTTTAGCTTCGAATTAGCTAACTTAAGCAACAGAAACCTAGACTGATAGCTCGAGTTTGTCTCTATATGTTTTGTTTCTAAATTGCCCCCTCCCCCCCCCCTTTTTTTTTCATTTTTACCTGAGAAGATATCCGTAAGAAACTACAGGTGTTACACGGGTCAACCTTAACTAACAGAAACCACGAAACAGTCCTCTCGTTGTTTGCTCTCTTCTTCTAACTTTGAATTTCAGCGGGTCTTCTGACGTCAGAGGAACGAGCGATTGCAGTACCGTAAATATTCATAAAGAGCCCCGATCTGATATTTGCCGTGCGACTCCTGTGGGGGCGTTAAAATCGGATACTGCGTCCATTCTCCAGAAATAGTTGATGACCTCTTTTAGTTAAATACCTACCGATGATTATTTACATATTTGTTTTCCTACTAGTTGATGTAAAAGCGGCTTTTGTGGAAATTAGGTGTTTATATTACGGTAAAAACAGAGTAAACGCGCGGACGGTTGCTGACTTTGGTAAATAAGGTTGTAATAAGCTTTCCCTTCCTGGAAGTTATGAAGTGTACCACATCTTTGCTGTTACACAACTGTCGTATAAATTTAGCTTAATAATTATCTCAGAGCTCGTCTCTAGTATGTTGTCTGATTGATATTGTTGAGGTTCCATTAAAAATATCTAAGCTACACCTATATATATATGAACAGCCTTTAATTATTATGTGATTTCTCTGTTTGATGTCCTGCAGACAGCCAAGTCTGTTGTTAAATATTATAAAGCTCTATGACATACATGCAACGAGTAGTTACAAAAATGACCAGTAGGTGTCGCAGGTGTAGGACAGATTGCTTTCAAAGGTAAGGCTTGGTGAGCAATCTTCATACTAGACAGTATAAAGCTGGTATGAAGGTGGAATTCAGTGAATGAATCTCAGCATCATCAGCTAATGAATCTGTGCTACACTTGATGTAACCT